TCTCTCTCATTGATGTTTCTAACTCTCTATCCCTCTCCCTTCCTCTCTGTAAAAATTCAATAAAATATATTTTTTAAAAAAGACACACACAGAGACTGAAAGTAAAGGGACAGAAAAAGATATTTCATGAAAATGTAAACAAACAAACAAAAACAGCTGAACAGCAATACTTACACCAGACAAAACAGCAATACTTATACTAGACAAAATAGACTTTAAAACAAAGGCTATATAACAAGAGACAAAGAAGGACCCAGCAATTCCACTTCTGGGTATTTATCCGAAGAAACCCAAAATACTAAATTGAAAAAGACATATACATCTATATGTTCATTGTAGCATTATTTACAATAGCCAAGATATGGAAGCAACCTAAGTGTTCATCAATAGATGAATGGATAATGAAGTGGTGCATGAATAAAAGGGGATATCTATCAGCCTTAACAAAGAATGAAATCTTACCATCTACAACAACATGAATGGACCTAGAGAGTATTGTGCTGAGTGAAGTAAGTCAGACAGAGAAAAACAAATGATTTCATTTATATGTGGAATCTAAAAGCCAAAACAAGCAAATCAGCAGAACTGAAACAGACTCATAAATACAGAAAACAATTTGATGTTTTTCAGATGAGAGGGGGGTTGGGAGGATGGGTAAAAAAGGCGAAAAGATCAAGAAGTACAAATTGGTAATTACAGAATAGTCACAGGGGTGTAAAGTGCAGCACAGGGGATATAGTCAATATTGTAATATATACCTGGTATGGTGTCAGCTGGGTACCAGAGTTATCAGAGTGATCACTTTGTGAGTTATATTGTGTCTAATTACTGGGTGTTACACCTGAAACTATATGATGTTGTATGTCAACTGTAATTGAAAAATAAAAAAGTAAAGTAAAACATAAAATTATAAACATTAGAGATTAAAGTTTTTACCAGTAGACCAGGATTCTTCAGATAATTGTTTCAACAACACACAACTGTGGCAGATATGGTTCACTTAGCTAAAGCTAAAGAAAGATTGTGAGGGATTTACAGTGGGGGAAAAATCACTAGCAAATCTGACTGTGGATTTCTGCATTTATGATTGATGCCAAGAAAAGACATCATGGCAGCTTCGTGGAATATCTCACAACTCTAATGCATATTTTGTGCCATTATCAGCAGTTGCAAACGAATTGACAAAGCTTGCAAGAAGAGCTATTAGAATCTAATCATCTGCTTTTTGACTCCCTCAGCTTTTTATTTTTCCCTGTATGCAAGATAAGCAGAGACTGGAAATAAGTAATTCAACAAGTCTTATTTAGGCATCTTTAATGGTTTCTTTTCTGATGTATCTCCTTTTCATAATTATATTTGATGTCTTATCAAATATTTGGCCAAATGTTTAATTATAAAATATCATTAAAGCATTATAACTTATGCATAACTGTACCACGTTTTCTTTTGTGAGGGGGCTTTTCTCCTTCTCTTGCCCTTTGTGCCCTGTTCCTAGTCTGCTGATTACATAGAAGGACCTTCTGAGAAGCAATTTAACTCTGACAGAGATTTTCAATCTGACCTCATTTTACAAACTTGATTGGAATTCAGGGTATTGAATCATGGCTTGAATAGGTTGGCCGGAGCTAAAGCATTAGATTCCACAGATATTCTACAAAACAATCTGATTGCCCATTTGTGCAGAGGCCCAAGTCCATTTGGTTATAAAATATCTACTTTATTGAATAGACAGTTTTAGAAGAAATCCTTTGGGAAATGAGAATTCTCTTCATAAACCATAATAACATCCTCATCAGATATAGATATTATTTTTGGAAATGGGTTTATCTTTTCTCTTTTTTTCCAGCTATTATCTCAGTCATTTTGCTGATAGTGAATTAAACTTGAGAGGATGAGTTGTTCATCTATTTATTCATTCACTTCTAGGTATTGTTCTAGATACCGGAAACACATATAAGGATTCTTCTTCCATAGACATGGTCCACAAGTAACTACTGCTCTTCTTTTCCCCCTTACATTGGAAGATCACAAAGCTACCTTTCCCATATTGTGAAGTATTGAGTAATGCTCAAGTGGACGCATAATTAGCATCTCAGTGCTCTAAATTTAGAAAGTGCTATTGTTCTCTTTTCTTTTTAATTTAAAAGCAAAAAACTTGAAGTTCTCAATAGAAGATTAGTACTTAAACTTTACAAAACATATACTGAGCACTTAACCTATTATTATTACATACCACTTTCAGTTGGGCTTGAGAATAAATATGTTGGCCATTTTGATTGATATGTGCCAGGACAGTGATCTAAAAGTAAACAAAAAACCCATTTATCCAAAATAACTCCTTTAACAGTCAACCCTAGTACAAAACTTTTATATCACTCATTCATTCATACATCCATTTATATTTAATAACTACTTAATAGGTGTTGGGCTCTATGTTATAGTGACAAACAGGGCCATGGCTTTCACAAAACAAACATAACAACAGGTAATACACCCTGATAAGTAGAGGAACAGAGAGAAGTGTGGAAATTCAGTCAATTATTATTAACTTTCTCCTGTTAGAAAACCTGTTCTCCCCTTGTCTGAGAATGACCCATAAATAATCTAAAAATTCTGTAAACTAGATCAGCACAAGCAGGATTCCTAATGCTATTAGAACAGCACTTTTCCTGATGTCCATGTGCTTTGTAGTTAAGAGGATAAGTCATTCCTAATTTGTATTTGTCTAATACACCAGTTCTCTGGCCCAGAGAGGGGGTAAAATGTCTGTTCTAAAAGATTTCAGCTGCCCATTCCTCTCTGCATTTTTACCAACTGGCAGAAGCTGAGAACTTAAAACTATACTGAGTCCCTCAGTAGCTAAGGCACCATTAATCCAATAGTGCTGGCCCATAATCCTCTTTTGTGTTTTTTTCTTTGTTTGTTTGTTTGGTTTTCTTTTTGAATCAAGAGCTGATTTATTAAAGTAAGAGTGCAATCAAGTTTGTAAGTAAAATATTTCAAATTCTTTGGTGGGGGGTGGGGGAACAAACCCAAATCTTTAATTCTCATTTATAAGCGCAATTTTGGAATTATTCTTGTGCTCAGCTAAGGCAGTTTTTCTAAAGATTTCTACTAACTTGGATGAACAAATAAGTTTTATTGAGCTTTTTACTGAAACCCTGAGCATAATGATGCATACGTATTACAGTAAAGTTGCTGCCAGGCTCTACCTTTTAAAGATATCAGATGTCAAAATACATCACACCCAAACCTGAGACCCCACATAATTTAAATGTTTGTTACACACTGGTGTGTACAAAGCAAGCGGGACTCCCTGAGTGAAAGGTAGGACCTACTAGAAGATGTCACTGATGTCCTCTAGAGGAGAGGAGAGAGGGTATACGTGGGCATAAGTGTTTATATATATTGCTTCTTTCCCATGATATTTTTGAATGATGCCCAGCAAACTAAGTTCTGGAGGTGGTGGGAAGACAGAGGGACAGAGGGGCTGGATGTGTTAGCTCACATGTAATTATGGGGGTGAGCAGAAGTGACTGTAGAGCTTTTGCTAGTCTGATTTTCACCTTGGGGGAGCTGCAGGGGTGGTTGCCAGCCTCCATCTTGACAGGTGTTGAAAGATTTAGCCAAAGGCCATTGTGCTGGTGTGATTAATTCTGTGTCGCTACAATAAGTAGAGAGAGGCATGCTAACAAATCAAACAACATGGTGTGATACAGACAAAAATAGACAGATATAAGTTTCAAAAAAATTACAAAGGAAAGCATCCTGTCTGGAGCATAATGGGAAAGTGGTGCTCTAGCAGGGTTGTGATGGAAACTGGGCATTTCCCAGGTGGACAAGGGGAAGAAGAAAACAAAGGGCCTACACTCTAAGGAAAGGGCAGCATGAAATGGTATGAAATCAATGGGAAGCAGTGAACAGCTTGGTCCTGCTGGCATTCAAATGAAAGGGGAGAGTGGCAGATGATGACACTGAGAAGTATGCATCTTACAGCTGTGCCAAAGTGCACTTTATCCATAAGGAATGCAGCCCTCTTGAAAGATCCCAAGTGTAGAAGGGACGTGGTCTGATTTGCCTTGAAGAGGACTGACACTGCGGTTGAAGGCACAGAGTAGAGGCAAGTCAGCTGGAAAGCTTCCAGGAGCCCATGGCCACGGAGCACTAACAGGGTGAAGACGAGAGCACAGAAGGGGCAGAGGAAGCCGGGTACCAGAGCATGGTGCCAGGCTCCACTGGGGTGACCTGGATCAGCTCTGGCCTGATGCTAGCCACTCCCACGCAGCTCCTTTCTTTCTAACCCGCTTCTCATTCTCTTCGGGAAGGATTGAGGTCTCTGGAAAATAGCCCAAAAAACTGTTGTGGGAACAGCAAGCCCAAGTAATGCTCAGGCATTAGGAGGATCTGAGTGCTGAAAGCCACCTCTGTTTTCCTTCCCTCGGCTACGGGGGGCAGGAAAGGGTTCTCAAAGCCGCAACTCCTTTTAGGAGGATTGAGAAGACATATAAAGGGCCCTGGCTGAGGACTTGCTTCCTCATTCCACAGTTGGTGCCAGAACTCTCAGTCCTCCACTGAGAGAAAATGTCCATCCAGTGAGTATCTCTGGGAGATTTCTTTTAAATGCCTTGATGGGTTGATGGTAAATAGGCTATTTCACGAGCTCCTGAAGAGGACTGATGTCCTGTTTAGGGAAGGCCTGGGTCTTGTTGAGGGAGTTTCTTCCTATTTATCTATTGAAGCAAATATCTAGAATTCAAGTGGAGTCTATGTGACTTAGAAAGGACCTCGGAAGCAGCTGTGAGCGGGAGGATTTCAATAAGGCAGACCTGGGTTCCACGTCTCACTCAACCACTTCCTATCTGTATGATTTGGGGCAAATTACTTAACATTTTAAAGTCTAGGTTTCTCCATATATAAGATGAATGTAATAATAGTACTTACCCCATTGTGTTGTTGTGAGATTTAAATGTGCTAATAACATACAAAGTTGTTTTCAATGACACATGGCACATAGTAAGTGCTTAATAAAAGATAACTATCATTAGTTATTAGGAAGCTGGTCAGATCTCCCACTCTAAGAAGTTATACAATGGAGCCAAAGTGAGGAGGAAGAAAATAAGCAAAAATATAAAACTATTTATTTAAAAGTACTTGAGTATTTTTTTTTAATGTTTTTGGAGATGAGTGAGGATCTGAGATGACAGTAAGAGATGTTGGTATAATACAGGTGAAGAACAAAGGATGAGGTACTGACCCAAAAAGCTGTCTTCTCTAAACTTATAGGAGAGAGAGGGATGAGACTGTCTTTAAGGCAGGAGTACCTGATGGAGTAAGCTGAGAGTACCAACTGGGCAGCGTAATTGCATGGGATGGACTGTGTTAGGAAGAGAAGAGACAGCAGCAGGTTTGGTTGATTTATCTTCAGAACTATGGGAAAACTACAGAGGGCAGGACTAAGTCCACTGTGACATTAAAAAGAGGTCATTTCTCCTGACATTAGAGAAGGAGCGCTGACCTGGGCCCCTCTTGCGAACCTGAGCATGTTTTTAACCCCCAAGCACCGTGTGCTCCCTTGGCAGAAGCTGGACTGGTAGGGTGACTTGGCCTCGAGCCAGAAAGCACCGTTTGTCCCTCAACCCTGCTACTGCCTCCGTGAGTATTCACATGGGCTTCTTCATTGGGATTCCACATTTCAGAGTTGAGCATCCTGCTGGTGGTTACAAGAAACTGTATGAAACTGTGGAGGAACTCTCCTCGCCAGTCACAGCTCATGTTACAGGTGGGTCTCACTGATCTTGGAGTCGTCCTCTCTTTGTCTTCAAGATCTCTCTTCTCTTCCTTCTTATTCATTGGCACCTCTCCTCACTGGCTCCCCTCAGGGCTACAGAAGGAAATCTGGAGGTTCAAGAACTCTTTACCCAGAATCCAGTTCTTCTCATTTACCTTTTAGTTATTTCTCTAATGTAGAAAAAATGCTACCTAACTGGAATTCCTGAAGGATTAGGACTACACCTTTGCCATTTTAAAATCATCAGTGCCTAGCTCAGTGCCTGGCAGATAGTAGAGGCCCTGTAAATATCTGCTCTGTCAGTGTCTGGATAAATGAGGACCTGCTGACCAGCATCCGGAAATACTTCATTAACAGATGGTAGTTTTATGTATATTATATCAGAAGAGTCTTGGTTCTGGAGTCAGGCAAATATAGGCACTAATGGCAGCGCTTTCATTTTAGTAGCTGTGGATCCTACAGGTTACTTAAACTTTCTGAGCCTCAATTCTCTCACCAGCCAAAGACCAAATTTTACCTCATGGGGATGTTGTAAACATGAAATGAGCTAGTGTCAATAGAAAGATCTACCCAGTATCTGAGACAGAGTGATCAACAGGTGGTAGGTAGTACTGTTGTTACCACTCTCTAAAGATATTATATAACCCATAGAGCATACTCGCTTGGACATGATGTCATGGGAAGGGCCAAAGCTTAGGCAGGTCTCTTTTCTCCCAGTTTCCTCTTCTGTAAATTAGAAGGAATGAGCCAAACACTCTAAACCAGATTCTGATGCTAACAATCTAGGTTCTGGCAATTATATTAATGCTGTGCCTTTTAGTTGAGCCACACCTTCTTAAAAATTTTACCAGAAATATAAATCTTTATCAAATAGGTTGCTAAGATTGAGCTGCAGAAAATAATTTGTTTGTTAAAAAAATAAAAAATAAAAGCATTGGTAAGGATTAAGCAAACATTTCCAAAGACTGCACTTTTCAAGGGCTAAAAGGGCACAAGTGTAATTGGTTAAACTAAAAGGCCTTAAGGTCTTTGTTGTGTGCCCCTGGTGTGCAGAGGAGAACACCAAGGCCTGGAGATGTCACCTGGCAAATCCTGAACCAGAACCCAGGTCCCTACCCGCCAGCCCTGTGCAGTTTCTGCTACAGAAGGTTGGCCTGCACCTGGACAGTAGCACATACATACCCTCAAAAGAATGTAGCTCTAGGTTTTAAAAGGCCAATATTCTTGTTGTAGCATTTAAATGATTTTTTTCTATAGGCCCATCATTTTTAGTGTTTTGATCTCTGCTCTTAATCCATCCTTCCAACCCCTACTGTATCAAATTATATCAAGAAATTTGAAATTCTTAAAAATAAGATGTTGGAAAAAGGTAAATGTATTCGTAACTGGGGAAATCTGTTAGGTAGAGATTCCCATTTCCCTCAAGGTGCTTTTCCCTGTCTCCTTCCAACCAGTTACCCAAACTCTGAGGCATTGCCACATTCTCTCCTACTTGGTCTCCTAGAGAAAAGAGAATTGATCCACAGGCATTTCCTACGTGCTGCCCAGCTGTAGAGCTGGGAATGAAAATCACTGCCAGCTTTATAAACAATCGCTGCCCAGCGAGGCTGCTAATATAATCCCTGTGCCTGACCAGGGACAATCCAGCCAAGGGCAGGAGAAAGAAGCAATGTTCTGTGTCTCACGTTCGTCACAGGCAGGATCCCCTTCTGGCTGACCGGCAGCCTCCTTCGATGCGGGCCTGGACTCTTTGAAGTTGGATCTGAGCCGTTTTACCACCTGTTTGATGGGCAAGCCCTCCTGCACAAGTTTGACTTTAAAGAGGGGCATGTCACGTACCACAGAAGGTAAAGAAAGGCTAGGCCCCGCTCCCCCTACGAAGGGTGGGGCCTAGCTCTGCTCCTCCTCCCTTGGGCTTTTCAACCCCCTAAACCCAAAAGGGGACTTATACACTCACTTTCTCTCAGACTCCACTTGAGCCAATGCATCTGCATGGACACCTGGGAGCTCTGCGATGGGATAAAGAAGAAACTAAGAACTAGGCCTTTGGGGTTCAACATGTCTGGCTTCAAGTCCTATATCTACCTTTTGCAACCATTGGAAAGATGTTAATATCTAACTCTTGGTTTTGTCATCTCTAAAATGGGAGATCATGGAATCTACTTCAGGGTTCATTACAAGGAGTAAATAAGAACATAGGAATATTCAGTAATAATATTATTATAGTTATTATTATTAGAACATAGGCTCTCTTTACTCCCCCCCTTTTTTATCATCAAAAAGGCCCACAGGGAAGGAGAGAGGGGGTTCACAAAGGAGGTAAGGACCAAATATCTGGTGATGATACAAAAAAGAGAAGTTTTCTAAAAAAAAAAGTTTTTCATACCATTGTTGCTTAAAAGGCTTGACGGCCTAAGCCGGGGTGGGGAACCTTTTTTCTGCCAAGGGCCATTTAGATATTTATAACATCATTTACAGGCTATACAAAATCATCAATTTAAAAATTAGCCTGCAGAGGCAGCTGATCAATAATTCTCTCTCATTGATGTTTCTATCTCTCTCTCCCTCTCCTTTCCTCTCTGAAATCAATTTAAAAAGTATATTTTTAAAAATTAACCTGCTATTTTTGGTCAAACATTTAATTAACTCATCCCTAATGCCTTGGCAGGACCAGACCAAATGACTTCATGGAGCTTATATAGCCCATGGACCAGATGTTCCCACCCCTGGCCTAAGCCATCACTCCAGGAAGCACCCATTAACACCACAACAAGTAATTTGTCTTATGCTTTAATATTCTCACCCGTTAGTGGCTTTGTTGATAATCACAGACATCAGGCATTCTAAAGAGACATCAAAAGGGAGAGTAAATGGAGGTTTTAAGTAGTCAGGATGACTTGGACTATAATAAAAGAGAAACCGATCAGGTCAAGCAAAATTTATCTATGAAAAAGCATGCTTTGGAGGTCAGACAAAGCTTTCATGTGCCTTCTAAAGACCTTGGTATTTTTTTCCTCTTCGTGACTGTGTTTCTTCATCTACGAAATTCTAAACACTTACTATATGGATTGGAGGAAGGGTAAAATTAGATTTCCATTGGCTCTCCACATGAGAAATCCTAGGCACTGTATGCCATCTAGTCTGGGATATGGTTCAGGGGGTCTGCCTGTGCAAGAGGCTGGATTGAAGAGATCCCAAATTTTAAAAGTAGCAAAATAAACTTTAAAATTGAAGAAAAACACAAGAGGGACAAGAAATAGTTTGAAAGGAATATAATTCAGCATACCATGCCCTGTCTTTCCCACTGAGTGTAGTTTGATGGATTATAGGCTACAGGACATCATAGGTCTTATGTCAACTACCCTGGGGGCTGCGTGGTGTGATAAGGAAAATGCATGTTTTCCATATCTGGCCAACTTGAATTGTAACCCAGCTCTGCCACAAATGCCAATCACTTAACTTCTCTGAGCTGTGAGTTCTGCATCTGCCACTGTGAAATTTGTAAGCCATACATGTAAGCTCATGGCACATTGTCTCTTTCTCCTTTGGTCCCTAGGAGAAAGTGACCTGACAATACTCTTCATTCTTTATGTTGTGGATTTATTATTCTGACTCCATAAGGACAGTATGACCATTCTAAGATCCACTTGGACCGCACTGATTGTCCCTGTCTATGATCCTTTCCCATGTTGTAATGTCCTTCAGGTTCATCCGCACTGATGCTTACGTACGGGCAATGACTGAGAAAAGGATCGTCATAACAGAATTTGGCACCTGTGCTTTCCCAGATCCCTGCAAGAATATATTTTCCAGGTTAGTGACACCTAACTGCATGTTATTAAAGACATTTTACCCCAGCCCCTTTTCTCTCATGGTTAAAAGTTACTAGATCAAAAATGTCATTTGCTTCTGCAGGTTTTTTTCTTACTTTCGAGGAGTAGAGATTACTGACAATGCCCTGGTTAATATCTACCCAGTGGGGGAAGATTACTATGCCTGCACAGAGACCAACTTCATCACAAAGATTAATCCTGAGACCTTGGAGACAATTGAGCAGGTAGGATACAGTGCCCAAGAATTTAGAATTGCAGCTTAGAGTTAAAATTAAATCAACTGTGCAATTTGGTAGGAAGAACATGAGAGCTTGCCTGGCTGGTGTGGCTCAGTGGTTGGGTGTCGACCTATGAACTAGGAGGTCATGGTTCAATTCCTGGTCAGAGCATATGCCTGGGCTTTGGGCTCGTTCCCCAGTAGGGGGCGTGCAGGAGGCAGCCAATCAATGATTCTCTCTCATCACTGATGTTTCTATCTCTCTCCCTCTTTCTTCCTCTCTGAAATCAATAAAAAAATATTTTTTGAAGAAAGAAAGCCAGACAAATTTTCAAATTCTTGCTTTATCATCAACTACTAGCTATGTGACATAGGGCAAATGTTTATTTCTTCATCTATGACATTTGAAAAACTTATTATATGGGTTAAAATAAAACTGTATAAAATGCATAACATTCATTCATTCATTTATGGGACACTATTTTTTTTCAGTCCCTGACATGTACCAGAACATATGCTGGGTGCAGATACATCAGTGTGTGAAACAGCATGGTCCCTGCCCTTACTGGCTTTTATAGGCTAGCATGAACCTGGCACATATTGGGTGTTCAAAAAAATTATAGCTATTAATATTGAAAACCCTGCTATTCATGATTCTAGACAAGTATGTTGCACCTATTGCCCCTTATAGATACTTCTTATTAGAAATGAAGCTATATTTTAAATGAAATAGCATAGAGAAAAATATCGGCAATAATAGAGACAAATTTTGCTAACAACTTAGACAATCTCAATGCAGCATTCAATGAAATGGATACATATTTTCAACCAATATTTATTAAGATGTAACTATTTGAAGGCATTGTTCTTGTCTTTAGAAAGTTTAACATTTTGTTGGAGAAATCAAATAAATATGCAACTTAACTCTAATAGGACACATAATGTGATGAGTCCTTTAGGAGGAGGAAAATCTTCCATGAAAGCAGGAAGAAGAAAGAGATTACTTCTGGCAGTAGTTGGAGGATATAAGGTGGTGCAGATTAAGGAAGATTAAAAAGGCTTGCATTTGAGTTAGAAGTTAAAGGGGAGAAACTTCAGTGAATTTGGAAAAAGAACATTTCAGGTAAAGGGAGTAACATAATCAAAGGCATAGTGGTGGGAAAAGAAAGGATATGTTCATGGAAATGAAAGAATAATTAATTTGACTAGATTGGCAGTATTTCTCAATGGAGAAGCTAGTGGCATTGAATGGGAGATAACTCATCATTGTGGGGACTGTCCCCACGCAAAGGTTT